CTGGGGCGGGAGGGGGGGTGGGGCCCACTGCCATCCTCTCCCACCCCTGGAGCAGGCATCAGGCCCCCCACCCCCGCCATGGGGAGAGCAGGGACCACCTCATAGCCCAGATGAGACAGGGGGCACCTCAGCCACATTGCAGATCCTCTTCCCAACCCCTGCGAGACCCCCAGGTCCCCGCCCCGTCCCTCCCAAGGACAGTTATTTTCATTATGGCTGCTGCCCACTTCTCAGGGCCCACATTTCCCTGGGGCCATGGAGAGAAGTCCTTCACCCTATCACCCCTTTTCTTTGCAGTTTTAGTTTCCATCATTGTAGGAGGTGACTGGGTTTCATGGTCCGCACCCAGGAGTCAGATGCTTGGTTTGGCTGTCTATCCAGCCAGTTGCTGCCTGAGGGCAGAAAGGACACGAAGAGGCGAGCAGAGCTGAAGCCCAGGGAAAAATTCACACACTCTCAGGTCCCTGGGTGAGGATGTTCTCAAAGGAAAGGAAGGACCTTGCCACATCTGCTAGGGCACAATCTTGACCGCCTCAGGAGGAGGCCTGGCTGGGCCAGCAGGACACCCCATGAGCATGACTGAGCTAGCCTGGTCCAAAGTGGCTGGCAAATGTTTGGCTCCGGTTTCTTTTCATTTCTTGGGTAATAAATGGTTTAAAAGCCTATTGAAAACTTCCAGCATTAGGCTGTCTGCATGCAGACAGCTCTAATGCCCTGAAGATGGTCAGCCGGGGGAGAAGAGTCATCCAGTCTTAGGACAAACACTAATGCCATTTGGCCAGCCTCTCATGAGCAGGGAGCTGGGGAGGGCTTCTGGTGACCACATCTCCTCCTCTTGCCACCAGCTTTCCCACTGGCTTCCCAAGCTAGTCTCTAGGACCAGGGTAACTGGAAGGAGCTGCAGCTCGGAGGTGCCTTGGACCTTTGTCAGTGTTGGATGAAGGGCATCATCTGCAATCACCCCTCCCCTGGCAAAGGAAAGGGTTTCCATAAAGTTGCTGAAGTGGTCCCTGAGTGCCAGTTTACCTGGCTGTGCCAATGTTCCTGTACTGGCACATGAGAAGGTGCTTGAAGGTTTTCTTGAAAGTGGCATTGCAGAGTGCGTAGCAGGCTGGGTTGATGGTGCTGTTTACATAGCAGAGCCAGTAGCCAATGGACCACACTGTTTCAGGTACGCAGGTCTCACAGAAGGTGTTAATGAGGACCATCACATTGTATGGAGTCCATGTGAGTATGAAGGCTAGCAGGATAGCAAATATGGTCCGGGTGACTTTCTTCTCCCGCGCTGCCATCTGGCGCTTCTTCCGTACTTGGCTCCTGGCGATGCTGGCAAACTTCCTGGCAACATTGACCGGGCGGCTGTTGGACAGGGAGTTGTGATCAGAGGCTCCTGCCTTAGCGGGGACGATCTCGATGGCGGTGACACATTCGCTCCCAGTCTGCTTGGTTACAATTTTAATCTTGGACCACTTGGAAGATGGGTTCACCCGGGGGTGGGATGGACTCTGTCCTTGCCTCACTGGCAAGATTTCTGCTGTGGGCTTGTCTTTTGTGGTCTGAGTCATGCTGACTGTGCTGGACTCGTTGGAAGTCTCCTTCTCCTCCTGATGGCCAGTGGCCTCTGTCTGTGCTGACGGCTGGTCATCCACTTTCCCATTCCTCACCTCCTCCTTCACCTCCACGGCCTTCTTGGGGGATTTGTTGTTATTCTGTTTGATCAGGGGCCCCTTGAAGAAGCTGAGGGACTTGCCTTTCCTCTCTTTCCTGCTTTCAGGCTTGTGCCTCCTCACTCTGCTCCTGCTGGCCAGGGAGATGTGGATGTACAGCACCGTCATGATGACCACGGGCAGGTAGAAAGCAGCGATGGCCGTGCCGAAGGTCACTGCTGGGTTGGAGAGGAACTGGATGTAACATTCCCTCTCAGGGACTGTCCTCTTGCCCACAACGAACTGCCAGAACAAGATGGCAGGGGCCCAGAGAACGAAGGACAATATCCACGCAGCCGCAATCATTAGCCCCGCCATCTTGGTGGTCCTCCTGGCTGGGTACGTCAGGGGCTTGGTGACACAGAAGTACCGGTCAAAGCTGATGATGAGTAAGTTCATGACAGAGGCATTGCTCACCACGTAGTCCAGGGCCAACCACAGGTCACACACCACGGCCCCCAGTGGCCAGTAACCTTTGATGATGTAGACCGTGTAGAGGTTCATGGAGAAGACCCCAATGATGAGGTCTGCGCAGGCCAGGCTGAAGAGGAAGTAGTTGTTGACAGTCTGCAGCTGGCGGTTCACCTTGATGGATAACATCACCAGGATGTTCCCCACCACAGTGACGAGGCTGAGTGAGCCAGTGACTGTGGCGATGAAAATCAGCTCCACTGTCTTGTAGTTGGTGGGAGGCTGGATGGCCACCTCAGAGCGGTTGCCCAGGGTGAAGTTGTCATAGGTCAGGTTGGCCATCTTCGCCTGCCAGGGCTGAGCAGAGAGGTTGTGCATGGGATCTGCAAGGGGAGCGGTGACAGAAAGGGAGAATATCATACCTGCTGGCCCGTGCTGGCAGCGTTTGCTGCCTCCACAGTTTCCCAGGCCAGCACTGCTCTTGGCTAGAGCTCGAAAACCTCCTGGTGTTACTGGGTTTCTCTGCCATTGCAGCCTTCTCCCCAGGAGCTCTCTGAAGGCATTTTTTGTGTCCCAGTTTAGCAATGGAGGAGACGCATGGGGCTGCAGGGAGAGCAGCACGGACAGAGCTGGGGACAGCCCTTTGGCTAGGGTGCAATGTTCCCTTCTCGGCAGGGCCAGGAACCACCTCTCAGCAGGAGCACAGCCTTGGTGTGCCTCAGGGAGGCACACAGAGAGGCCAAGGGGCTGCAGGAGGAAGCGGGCTGTGGAACCGAGCAGTGACACACAGTGCTCGCTGCAAGGACAGCAGGGCATGGAGCTGGTGCCCTGCCCCAGGTACAAGAGCAGGTTTATGGTATGCTCCAGGCATGGCACTCTGGCCTTCCCAAAGCACCTCCCTAAGGGTCCCACAAAGCCCATGCCATGGTCTGCTCAGCTCACCTGTGTCTCTGGCAGCAAACAGCTCCTTGTGGAAGATGAAATCTGGAACAGGCAAAACAGCAAGTTACATTACAGCTTCAGCCCTGAGGAGTTCATCCGAGTCCCATAGCGTCTTACTAGGGCAGAACAATCTTTCCAACAGAGGTGGCCTTGACAAAGGGGTAACTGCTTGGAGGCAGATGCTGAAAATCCAAAAAAAGCCTGAAACTGCGTGGTTCGGCTTGGCCTGGTTCACAGCCCAGCCCCAACCGGTACGAGAGAGGGAAGGGGCTGCATAAGTGCTATCAACCAATGATGCCGGGAAATGCTGGTGCCTTCTACCAGTCCCACATCACACTGCAGCTGCAGCCACACTGGCCATGGAGATGTGCAGGGTGAACCCAGCCATCTCAGCCTGCTACACGGAATTATTTACAAAAGGCGGCAAGAATTATGGACAGAAAGATTGCCTTCATCCAAACAGAGATGCCTGTGGTTAACACCCCAAGGTAAGAGGAGAATGGACCTTACAAAAAAAAAAAAAAAAGTCAGTGGACCAAAATTGATGTGTTGGGATGAAGGGCAGTTTCCTGGAAGCAGAAGGAGAAGCAAGGGCCTGGGGGAGGTGGGCTGGGCGGGCGTCCCGCCGGGCTGCCCACCCAGCCCCATGGGTGCTGCTGCTGACGGCGCAGCGGGGAGCGGCACAGCGGGCAGGCATCCACGCCGGTGTGCGCAGCGGGAGCACTTGGCACAGTGTGGCTCTGCAAGCTGCCTTGGGTAACGGCACTGGCTCCAAGCACCTGTGACTCCTGAAGCTGATTTTGCTAAATGTATAAACACACCATTAACGCACTCTTCATCAAAACAGGGTTTGGCAGGCTTTGATATCGGTTCATATTTTTAAAGTCTTATAAAAGAAATGCCCTTGCCTTTCATTTGTGGTGAGGGTAGGAGATTTCTACCATCAGCAAACAGTCAAGGTTTTGATATAACTGCTTTTTAAAGGGGTGATATGAGAAAACAGAAGCATGGCTGCTGAGATGCTAAAGCCAGGGTACCAACATAGCCGTGAAGGCAGCCTCTGCATTAGCAAGGCTACAGCTGCCACAGCGGTTGGGGTTGTCCTACATGTGCAGGGGAAATGAGTGGGTGAGGGCCAAAGAAATACCTCTACACTATTATCCTCGCATCGCCCATGAAGACAAAGTGCTTTGAAAAGAAAGCAACACCCTTCAGTAGATACTAAATGCTAAATACTGATGGGGTGAGGAAGCCCAGCAGCATTGCCCGGCTTTGCACTGAACTCCAAGCAGAAGGGGGTGCATCAAGGGAGAAGAAAAGCAGTTTCTGCTGCCATCATTCCTGGGCACGCAGCCAGGGATATGAGAAGAGGTGATAAGTGCATAAAATGACTTAGAGATATATAATCGTGGCAGTTTGGGGGTTGGTTTCAGTACAATTGAAATGAGTTTTAAATTCTTCGCTTTGATGAGATGGGGAGATTTAGCTGTCATTCTTGTAACAGCTAATCAAACCGATCAGACAAGCTAGCAATCAACCAGACACCTACCCCAGCTCTTCCAGGAAGAATTTGAAAATCTTGAAAAGAAACCTTTCCTTCATCTCTGCTAAATGAGGGTTTCAGTTTTTCCTCTTCAGTTTGTGAACTGACATCCTCTTCCAAATGCATTTAATTAATTATCAGCCTTGACGGAGGCTTGTGTTCTCAGTTGCCCGAAGTGAGAAAGTCCAGCTCGCCCCACTCCGTAAAACCGTGTGTGCAGGTGACAGGCAACGGAGGAGGAAGAGGCCAGCGCAGCCCCACTCGCGTGTCGTTGGATGCCACCCAGAGGTCGTGCTGGAAACTGGTGTGCTCAGACAGAGGTGACTTCAGACTGGCTTCAGGGGGTGCTTTGAAAATGAGCCTCCACTGAAGGGCAAAACCGCAGCAATCCCCCGTTTGAGGGTGGGAGGGAGGGAGGCTGAAAATGGTGAAGGGTGTGAAGAGAAGCGCAGCACAGACATACAACAACATGCACAAGCCGGAAGCTACGCACACCACTCATCCTCACCTCAAACACCCTAACAACTTTTTGCCAGGCCCCGTCTTTTCTTCCCCATCTTCTGCTCTCTCCATCCTGCTGTCTCTCCTTTTTGTCCTGGACACCCCCTCTGAGCTCGCCAGCACACCCCAGCGCTGCCTTTGCCTCCCTGAGCAGGGCAGGCAGCTCAGAGTTGGGAGCAGGCCAAGGATGCTGTGAATTTGCCAGGTCTCGGAGTGGCTGACCAAGCCATGGATTCTGCCTGCACAGGCCCTGAGGATAGATCCTGCCAGCCCCTCTCGGGATAAACTTGCCTTGCTCTGTCCTGGGGGACCCTCTCGAGCAGCAGCAGCAGTGGTTCCAGCCTGTTGAGGCTGATTTCCCCTCTGCCCATGGGGATGGAGGGCACCCAGGCTGTGCAGGGAGGACCTGGGTTGGGGCACAGCCCTTCGTAGCCCCAGCTCTGCCTGCACCTCAGGATGTGTCCGAGAAGGGAGGGAGCACGCAGGAGAGCTGCAGTGCTGCGATGGCTCACCAGCGTGACGCTCCATCTCCACTCTCACACCAGCTGCATCACTGTCCCCAGTGCTGTGAAGCCCCCAGACACCCACGGACCTCTCCATGCCCCACCGAATGCCTCCCCCGTGCCCCCGGTGCCCATCTCTCTACTCCTGCACCTTCAAGAGTGCATTTCTCCTTTTTCTCCCTTCAGGCCCCCCCCCATAGCACATCACTCTCCCCGTCTCCGTCCCCCTCTGGCCCCTGCCTCCATGCTGGCACCACAGCCACGGGGGGAGATGCAGCCTCGGCAAAGCCCAGAGGCCACTTCAGAAGGGCTCCTGGGGATGAGGCCCCTACATGTGACACCAGCTGGCTTTTCGCTGTGAACACGCTGGCCCTTGTCTGTGGTGCTTGCTCTCCCAGACCCGCTCTCACCAGCCAGCTACAGCAAACTCCATTACCGGCCTCCTTCCTCTCTAGGACTTCTGGCAGTGATTTATGGCTGGTTTTCTCCTCTCCATCGAAGTAATTAGGAGCCTCCAGCTCCTCACCGATAACATCTTTCCATCTAAGAGTTTCTGTGGCCCCTGCAGCACTCAACAAGCGTGTCCTCAAAGCAGGGAAATGCTTTTCCCTTCCCACCCAACATCTTGCATATTGTGGATGAAGACACAAAGCACAGGCAGACACAGATCCAAGCAGAGAATGTTGTCATTTGGGTGGGGTCCACCTATTTTGGGCAGTGCTTGGCACAGCAGGGTCACCATCGCTACCTGAGATCATGAGTGCTGCCACTGTCAGGTGAGGAGACAGCTCCAGAGCAAGAGAGCAAAGCTAGTCCTGCCCCAGTTCCTCAGTCACAGGGTGACATCCAAAGGCACAGCGGAAAGCTCCTGTTATTTCATTGCCGCACACCTGCGTGTCACTCCAGCAAGCCTTCCCCAGCCTTCAGCCCCTGCAAAGCGCCTTGCAGCCCATTGCCAGGTAGGAAAGGAGAAAGCCCCGTCGTGGACTGCTGATGGTCATCCCATACCAAAAAAATCTGCCTCAGATAGAGGCAGGTACTCCATCGGATGCAGTTAGTGATCAAGCACTGAACCTGTCTGGGACGGAGGGTCTTGCTCGCTCCTGCCCTCCCCGTCGCTCCCCGCGTAGCAGGAGCCGGCTGCCCTGCCCACTGACACGGTGAAGGCAGCAGGAGAGGCTGGTATTTACACATGTCTGTGTGATTGTGGCACCTCAAGCTGTGGGGTGAGGTCCTGGAGCAAGCAGCCCTGCTGCCCCAGTGTCCGCTGCCTCTGCTCCCTGTGCCCCTCCATGGCCCCTGTCCCTCACGCAACCGCCTGGGAATGAGCAGGGCTGTGCATGCACCCAGCGCGCTCCGCAAGCGTTGCCACCAGAAACCAAGCCCCACGCTCACACGCTGGTCAGGGGAAGAAGATGTTCATAGGGGAGGGAGAGGAATTAAAGAAACCATTATTTTCCCAGAGGCTCCTAGAGGAGATGGGCTTTTGCTCTGCACGCGTGCAATCAGCCCTTTGGAAGGCAAAGCTGAAGAGATCCCAAGCCCAGGCATGGGGTGGCCGTGGCTGCCAGCCCCTGGCTGTATGGACCCTGTGGGGCTCCGGGTGCTGTCTGACCCCAGGAGGGAGGGAAGCTGGCCCCCTCCACCGCAGGGACATCCCAGGGGAAGACACACATCACCCCCTGCTCTGGCTGGGTGCAGGCCACATCAGCTCTGGCGCTGACGTTGGACAGAGCTGGGCCAGCCCTGCTGCCAGCCCCCTGCTTGTCTTGGCCTTCCTAAAAGCTCCAAGAGGATGAAAATCTTAACGGGATTAGTTCCATCATGTCAAAATGCTGATGTGATGCAGGACTGGGTAGTTAGCGCAGCCACAACCAGAATTTGAGGAG